TCACATCTTTTTTATCGCACGTCTAAATAAATGCAGGGATTATTCCACAAGAAATAGGAAATCTTGTTAATTTGGTGGAGTTAACCGTGGAGAATAACCAGATTAGCGGCTCTATCCCGATCTCCCTATTCAATATTTCTAGAATTGAAGTCATTTCATTTTCAAACAATAGCTTATCGGGAAATCTTCCTAATGGTTTATGTAATAGTCTCCCAATGCTCAATGGGCTTTATCTATACACAAACAAACTTCGTGGCCATCTGCCTAAAAGCTTGTCAAATTGTTCACAACTTCAAATATTGTCTCTATTCGAAAATGATTTTGATGGACGAATACCTAGTGAAATTGGAAGATTGAGTAACTTGCAGGAATTGTATCTTCGAAACAACCATTTCACAGGTATGTTTTATCTTATGAGTGAAATTGTACTATTGTATCTAATCACCTCACATCTTTTTTATCGCACATCAAAATAAATGCAGGGATTATTCCACAAGAAATCGGAAATCTTGTTAATTTGGTGGAATTACACATGGAGGCAAACCAGATTAGCGACTCTATCCCGATCTCCCTATTCAATATCTCATCGTTGGAAACTGTTTCACTATGGAAGAACAATCTCAAGGGATCCTTACCACGGGAGATTGGCAACTTAACCAAGATGCAGATTTTACGTCTTCACGAAAATAGGTTTACTGGTACGTATTCAAAGTGATATATAGCAATCTGTTTTAATGAAGTAGCTAGCTAAATTCATTCATGTGTTACCAGGTGAAATACCCAAAGAGATCAGAAATCTCGTTGAGTTGGAGTTTCTTAGTCTTGGGTTTAATAGTTTTAGTGGTTCACTTCCAATGGAGATCTTCAACATATCAGGGATGAGAGTAATGGGTCTTTCATTCAATAATCTATCAGGAACTCTACCACCAAACATAGGTTCTACCTTACCCAACATCGAAGAGCTTTATATGAGCGACTTAACCAATCTTGTTGGGACTATTCCTCATTCTATCTCCAATTGTTCAAAGCTGACTAATCTAGAACTTTCAGATAACAAACTCAGTGGCTTAATACCCAATTCTCTTGGATATCTGACTCATCTACGCTTCCTTAACTTGTTGCAAAATAATTTAACCATCGACTCCTCATTAAGCTTCTTCACTTCCTTAACCAATTGCAGAAATTTAACATATCTTATTCTATCTATGAACCCTCTAAATGCCATCCTTCCTGTCTCCATGGGGAACTTCTCCAAATCTCTTGTACATTTTTATGCCAGTGAATGCAACATCAAAGGAAAGATTCCAAATGAAGTTGGAAACTTAAGCAGCTTGTTAGACCTTCATCTTTCTGATAATAACTTCATTGGATCAATTCCTACATCAATTGGCAACTTGAGAAACATTCAGCGCTTCAACTTGAGTAACAACAAACTTACAGGATTTATTGGAGATCACATTTGTAAATTGCAGCATTTGGGTGAAATTTACATGGGACAAAATCAACTTTCAGGATCTCTTCCTAATTGTTTAGGGAATGTTACTTCCCTTAGATGGATATATCTTGCTTCCAATAAATTGAGTTTCAATATACCAACAACCTTAGGGAATCTTAAAGATCTAATGGTTCTTGACTTGTCATCAAACAACATGGTTGGTTCTTTACCTCCAGAAATTGGAAATCTAAAGGCTGCGACACTGATAGATCTGTCAATGAATCAATTCACAAATGGAATTCCTACAGAAATTGGAGGATTGCAAAATCTGGAGATCCTTTCTTTGAGACACAACAAGTTGCAAGGATCTATACCTGACTCAATCAGCAACATGGTAGGCTTGGAATTCCTAGACCTTTCTCATAATAATATATCAGGAATCATTCCTATGTCTTTGGAGAAACTTCAATACCTCAAGTATTTCAATGTTTCTCACAACAAATTACATGGTGAAATACCCTCGGGGGGTCCTTTCAAGAACCTCTCCAGTCTGTTTTTCATCAACAATGAAGCATTATGTGGTTTGTCAAGGTTTAATGTCCCACCATGCCCCACATCATCAACGCATAGATCAAATAGGAACAAACTGCTACTGCTACTTCTTGTGCTGGGAATAGCACTTGTATTTGTTCTTATTACCTTTGTGTTCCTATGGATAAAGTATAGAAGAGGTAAAAGAGATTCTCAACAAGCTGATTCATTGACTATGGCAACAACAGAAAGAATTTCATATTATGAACTGCTCCAAGCAACTGAGTCGCTTAGCGAGAGTAATCTGATTGGTTCTGGAAGTTTTGGCTCTGTCTACAAAGGCGTTCTCAGAAGTGGAACTCATATTGCAGTTAAAGTGTTCAATCTGCAACTGGAAGCGGCATTCAAGAGTTTTGATACAGAATGTGAAGTTTTGCGCAGCCTTCGCCATAGGAATCTCGTAAAAGTCATCACTAGTTGTTCCAACCTTGATTTTAAGGCTTTAGTGCTCGAGTATATGCCTAATGGAAGCCTTGACAAGTATTTGTATTCCCACAACTACTTCCTAGACATTAGGCAGAGACTTAGCATTATGATAGATGTAGCATGCGCGTTGGAATATCTTCATCATGGATGCTCCTCTCCAGTGATCCATTGTGACCTGAAGCCTAGTAACGTATTGCTGGATGAGGATATGGTTGCCCACCTAAGCGACTTTGGGATTTCAAAACTGCTTGGTGAAGATGAGAGTGATTTATACACAAAAACCTTAACAACATTTGGTTATATTGCACCGGGTACGTCTCTTTGTTTTTGCTAATTTGAGCATGGATTTTTTGTCTTTCTTTTTCCAAATCAAGAAAGTATATTGCATCTTTTAATTAATTGTTTGACTGTAGAGTATGGACTGGATGGACTGGTGTCAATAAAATGTGATGTCTATAGTTACGGGATCATGTTGCTGGAGACGTTTACTAGGAGAAAGCCTAATGAGTTTGAGGGAGATCTTAGCTTGAAGCAATGGGTGAGTTATTCATTCCCAGAGGCAGTAATGGATGTTGTAGATGTCAACTTGATAACACCAATGGATCATCGCTTACAGAAGGAGTTAGATATCGTGGCATCAATCATGGAAGTGGCATTAGATTGTTGTGCTGAATCTCCGACAACAAGGACAAACATGAAAGATGTTGTTGGGATGCTACAGAAGATCATGATTCAACTTCTTGCATGCTGAGCAACGTTCTCGGAATCTCTTATTTGCTGCAAATGTTTACTAAATTGTTAGATTCATGTAAGCATTGTTGTTTTTTGTTAATTTTGTTTTAGCACTTGATTTCTGCATGATTCTGTTTAGGAAAACCGGTTGGTTTCAATAAATCTCACAATTTCCCCTCCACACTTGCTTTGTTCATGACTCTAAATTGAGTGGTTTCAACACTTGGATGATCAAACTGACAACTAGCACAGGAAGGCCTCTTTTTGGTCCAGTAGAATGAATGTTAAAAGCAAATTCCTCAAAATCGTATTATTTAGATACCTGACAAAACGAATAGAGATAGAAAGATCTAAATAACTAAAATGACATATTTCAAGATCAGATGATCCACCTCTTTGTTCACTTGTGAGTATCAACTCAGAAAAGTTAGATGCGAGGGAAATATATGTATCCACGTATATTAGGCACTATCCTTCCCGCCCACCTCATTAATATCAATAGGAATGAATCCGAGGGTAGCCTGATTATCAACAAATATATCTAACATGTGTATCTTCTTTTATGTTGTCTCAATATAATCGAGAAAGGCAAATAACAAACTATATATGTTTCCCGAAACTCTGTTAACTTAAATAGACTTACACACATCGTGTCACACTCTTATACCACGGAAATTTAGTAGTTCAGTTGGTTGGCTACTTGAACTTTCACCTCGTTGATAAGGTACCAATTCGATTTCCCTCACCCTTAATCGATTCTGAGTTTGAGTTCCGAAAATGAAAAAGAATCATAAAAGAAAGTATTTTTTTTCTCTTAATTAGGTCTCGTGTGACATGAACTTAGATTAATCATAATTTTAATCCAAAACAACACAATGAAACCTAAAAAGATAATTGTCTTCCTTGTTGCCTAAAAAGACAAGATTAGAAAACGTATAAGATAATAATCAACAGTATGATAAAATTGTTATAAATGGACTGTCAAAATGTTCTAGGGAATATGAGAATTTAATTAAACAAAACAACACAAAATAATTATAAAGCCATATGGATTGTCACTTAACATGACAACAATCCTCAATTATATTGTATACTTTTTCTATTTCAATATGAGTATTTAATCTTTCGTATCATTCTTGTTTTTAAATTTTCAGAAGATAATTGTTTCTTTATTTAACGTTTGTGGTTGACTTTTAATTCTTTTTTTAAAAATAAAAATAAAAATAAATTATAAGATAATGACTAGGTTTAAATTATAAAAAAAACAGCTTGAACCCTAGTGGACCACATCATCTATCACTACAACTTTCTCTGTTCACTTTTACTCGTTATTTTTACTTTTCATTAAATAGGTGGTGAAAGACATCATCTTAATAATTATGTAGATTGTGATAATTCAAATTGAAAAATAAAATAATTGATAATTGATCTAGTTATATTCAAAGTATATTTTAATATTTAGATGATAATAAATAGTTAAAATTGTATTTTTATCTATTAAAATAAAAAAAAAATTAAAAAGGTAACTATTTCCAAAACATTGGAATTTGAGGTAGCCCAACTAACTTGAATCCTCTTCTCCGTAGCCATCACGCTTGCTCTTAATACCCTTTTATTTTAGAAAAAAAGAAAATCATTTAATATCTGAAATCGCGATGTTTAATCTGAATTTCACACTTAATATGCCGATTAAAAATAAAGATAAATAATATTCTGTAATAGAAAAAGTTATGTGATGGATCACAAAGTTCAAATCCAAAACCTTATTATCAATTCTCCATAGAGCTCACAATTTTTGACTTTGGGTTATTACCATCATTTAAGCCTAAAAAATGTGCATATCATGTGAACTTATGTGATGTTTATAAAGCTCGTAACTTATTATCAATTCTCTATAGAGCTCACAATTTTTTACTTTGGGTTATCGCCATCATTGAGCCTAAAAATTATGCATATTATGTGAATTTATGTTATGCTTATAAATCTCGTAATTTTAATTTTCTCTTCAACTTTGATATGAGATTCGACTAAGGTGTGTGACATGTACCCATTTTTTAGAAGCTTGCAAGTTATAATTAATAAGTTTTTTACTTTGATCAACTCTCGTCAGTCCACCCTCTGTTATGAGCGTCACAATAAACATTTATAATCAATCAACACTTGTCAAAACTAGTCCCCCTTTACCCCCCACCCCACCCCACCCCTACTACTCATTTTTCTTCTTTCTCCTTTATAGCACACCCTTTCTACCACTTCCTTGACAAAACCAAATATCACATAGAAACAATGCATTTTTCAAAAGCTTCTAGTACTACTAATTTCCTCTTCATGTTCTTATTATTGATATTTGTCCCTTTTATTACATCCACAACACAAGCTAATAGAAAGTTAGTATTAAACTTGCATGAATTGAAGAAAAATCCCAATTTAGAGGACATGAGATTATTGTATCAAATTTCTCTTCCTAAGGGCACAATCCCAAATTCTACACCTAGCAAGAAGGGTCACTCACACACTATTAATAGAATTCTCAAGTCTGTTCCTAGCCCAGGAGTTGGCCATTAATATCTCTTCTCTAATTTGCATATCGTCGCGATTTCATCCTTTTCAGACCCCATTCGTGGGACTATATATATATATATGTTGGTATGCTTTTTTTTTGTTTCCTTTTTGCATTTTGGTTACATTTAAATTCATTATGAATTGTCACTAGTCCAAACCCAAAAGTCAAGGTATTATCCGTTTTGACTCGATCAACTTTGAGTCATCACAAAATTTTTGAATCTCAAGATTTTGCTCTCTTGAATTTTAACTCAAAAAAAGTGTCTTGATATTTTAATTTTAAACCCTGGCACTTGTATACCTTCTAATTTTATTTTTGCTCCTACTTTGACATAAGATTTGTTACTTGTCTACTATAGTTCGATCTCTCTAAGCAAATTCAACTTTTGTGGAGCTCACAATTTTGCTTCCTTAAGTAATTTAACCTAAAAGACGTTGCAATATATAGTTTAATCGTCAATTCGCTCTTATAGAATCCTTAACATTTTGCTGTAGGTGAATTTCACGATAAAACCTCCTTCGAGTTTCACGCTAGCACCTCGTGGGCCCGTTACAAAAGAAATTAACTAGATTAGGTTAGAATTGCACACGAGATCAGTAAAATTGTATAGTTGGATCAAGAGTGATGAAATTGTTTTACTTCTACATATTTATGAGATTGTAATCTACAGTATTCTTTATACTTCTATGTTGTTTGATTTTTTTATGACATGCTGGACTAGAGCGGCGATCTTTATAAGCTTATGGAATTAATACACTAATAATCAAGTCTTCAATTAAGTCAAATCAAAGTAATTTTGTCATTATTATTATAAATATGAGATTTTCTTAATTTTTTGTTTCTTTATTGAAAATGTATTTATCAGCCAATGTGAGATATCAATACGATGAACATCACTTTTATTATTATTATTAGACATATACGGTTCATAGACTAAATTTCTCCTTATTTTCACTTCATGAAAACAAAAACGAAAAAATGAAAAGAAAAAAGATTATATCAATCAATTCATGAAATAAAATTCAAAAGGAAACTTGAACACGATTTTACAAACTCTGTAATACTGGTTTATTAATCGCAACAAATCAAAATTAAATCTCCCAATATTTCAATGGATATTAATATAAATTTAGCCTTCATCATTCTATAAATATTTTAATTTCAATTGATAGGTTGTAACTTTTTACAGTGAGGCTGGTGGAGTTGAGCCGTGACCCCTTTGACCCGGCCCGGATGGTGGAAATGATCTTTTCAGAACACGGTGATTATTACCAATATTGCCACTGCTAATTTTCCAATTGTTTTTTTCAATTGAAAATATTTTTGTACCATGAGTTCTTGCTGAAAAAGTTTCATTTGTAGACATTAATATGAAAAATATCATAATAATGGAGATTAAAGAAAATTTATGAACCATATTGGCCATGAGAATTTGAATAATAATTTGTTAATTAAGAAATAGAGAAGAACAAAGTTGATAGAAAAATGTGTATTTTGTTGTGTAAGGAGGGATATGTATTTATAGGTATCATGATTTACTATATATCGAAAATGTTAAGAATTTATCATCTCAACTTAATTATTATTTAAGACAAGTCAAAACAAATTTAGAATATTCTAGAATTGTGTATATAATTCCTTTTCACAAACAAAGATATTAAATACTCTAAATGAAAAAAAATTATGAGATAAAAAACAAAGATATTAAATGCTCTAAATGAAAAAAATTATGAGATCACAGAGTTCAAATTTAAAACTTTTGACTAACCTAGTGTGTATTGTTCCTTTTCACGATCATCAATTCTAGGGGTATGGTGTATATGATTGTGTTGATTTGATTTTTTAAAATATCAAATCAAATTATTTGTGTTAGATTTTTAAATCTATAAATTAAATTAATAAAATTTGAATTTTTTAACTTCAGTTTTTTAAAAAAAAATCGGACTTCTCCGCTAAAGTATTCATACATAAAATTTACTTTTACTTCAAATATTTTTTTAGTTTTACCAAAATACAATTATCTAAGGTGCTTTTTAAGAATATAACACAAATAATGATATAATTAATGACACTAAAATATCGAATATATATATATATAATATTGAAATCGCGTAAACAAATGTTGTAAATTAACAAGTAGTAATAACGAAAATGATCATAATTTAATAGTAGTACTAAATCATACTAAAATAAGATTAATAATTAATAAGTATAAGTTACATACCAAATATTAAAGGAAATTAAAATTAGATTATGTATTTAAAATGTCTAAATCAATGTAAAATCAAAGAAAAGATATTCAATATAATTGTCATTCTTAGATTAAATTAATTTTCTTTTTGCGTTAGTTTTAAATTAATTTTGATTTAAGTTTTATTATAACTACCAGCATATGTGGACTATAATCTTTATATATATATTCAATCAAAATTCTAAGTTTCAAACTTGAAATAATATATTACTCCCTCCGTTTAAAAAAGAATGATCTTATTTTCTTTTTAGTCTGTTTAAAAAAAGAATGACCCATTTCGTTTTTTACAACACTTTAACTTTAACTTTAACTTTCCACGAGACATGTTAAAGACCACAAGATTAAAGGGCATTTTGGTACATTTGACAT